ATCGAAAATGCGCCACTGGGCATGGCGGATATCGCGAAGGAATGGCAGCTACGTGCTTCCACTTTATCGCGATCCCTTGCTGATTCCCTGCTGATTGCCGATGGGTCGTGATAGAAAGATTACGTTGTAGAAACGATAGAAACGTTCATCGATATACTTGCAATCGTGATCGAGGAAACGGATTTTTGCGACGCCCGGCACGATAGACAATTCCGTCAATCGTCGCCGCTAAGGGCGTCGATAATTACTCCGCCATCCGTGTATCACCCGGATGATGCAGTATCGAGGTCAATCGAGCGTTTTCCAACGAGGAGGATCCACGATAGAGACTCGAAGGACCGAATACAACGCTTTAATATAGACGAGACATGTCAAGTAATAGTGCGACAGCAGCTTTATAGTCAGGTTTATAGTCAAACAACCTCCTCAGCAACCTTGTTTCGGGCGATACTAGTGATGTTATATCTAGTTGACAACGCGCTTCTATAACCAGATATAATCTAAGTTTAACAGAGCGTGAAGCAGTGCAAAGTGCACGAATTAACATGCTTACAACGCTAGGGTAAGAAAACACAGGGCAAATGGTATACTTGTCGAGGGTGTCGGATCTAACGTACATCTCATTTCTAATTTCTGCACGAGAATTTATGAAAAATATCTCTTGGTAAAGTAATTTATTATCTCTTTAATTTTTTCGTTTTTGTATTTATAGGGATACACGTGCGATTTAAAAAGTTTTTTAAGAGTAACTATACGTGTGTGTATGTGCTAAATATAAATTGGAAAAATTACTATAAACTTGAAGGAAAGATTCTTCTTTGTGAAGAAATTATTCAAGATTCGTTACCCAACGTATTTTCATTTCAAAGCTTCAATTTTTTTATTCACGCTATAAAAGAGTCTTTAATCTATAAAAATATGAAAAACGATCAAGTTATATAGATTCATTCTGTATCCCATAATGTTGAGTTTGTCAGACGCGTTGCAAAAACAACGCTAGAGATTTTAGACACTTTCATAGATCACATTGTTTATGCGTACGAGTTATTAATCCGAAAGTCAACGCGCTCGCGCGATATGTAATATCGTTTATGCGCTCGTTATTCTCGCTCGAGGGGAGGCAGCTATCGCGTTAGCACATTACAGGGAATTCTTATAGCGGCTCGGCATAGCCATTTGCACGATGCGACACGCGATTACGAGTAATTACAGCTCGCACGTGTCATGAATATTTACGAGCGCAGTTTTTAAAGTTTCGTGTTTAGTTTAGAGCGCGTTAGGATACGAGCATATCGGGAACAGTGATTGTTCGTTTACGCGAGTTCGATGCTGCGAATAAATTTTTAAGTACGCGGTACACGTGAAATGCATAAGAGAAGATAAAGAGTGGATATTGCAGCACCAATGGTGTGAGAAATTTGATAAAAGTTACCCAAAAAAGCAGATATTTCATTTTTTATTCGATAAATACACAAGCCAATCAATTTTGCATGCTAATCTAATATCTTTTTCATTTCATTACTTTTAATTGACATTTTTCCTGGTATTTTATGCACCCATAAAACTGATCCTACTTTCTTAATAAAGATACTTGGTTATAAATAAGGCATTTCCCTTCTCTTCTTTATGGACACTAAATACTAAATTGGGAAGATTTGCTCCAGAGGTTCTCATTAATAAATTATACGAAGATAAAGTGATTTTCAATAAGATATTTGCAAATGTGCAAAATGCCTGCTTGAAATATTATTTATTATTTAATCTCAATTAAGTATCGCTAATTTGAAATCATCGCAAGATGTTAAAAAAGTCAAAGTCTATTTGGGATAACATCAATATGTCCGCTATATAAAGAGTGTCCCATTTTAAAAAACGCACCTCGATAATTGTTCAACGAAGTATTTTCAGCAAAAATGTTAAAAATTTCAGACAAAAATTGTTTCAAGGTAGACATAAAATAGTGTCATTAATTTGACCTGAATAGTTATTTGAAGGTCGAAATAAACTGCAAGAATATGCAATAAAAAGTAAGCAGTTTCATTTAAAAAATTGAAGATGACCTTCACGTAACTATTCAAGATCAAATTAATGATACCATCTTATGTCTCCCTTGAAACCATTCGACTTTTGTCGGAAACATTTTTGCTGAAAATGCTTCGTTGAAGAATTATCGAGGTGCGTTTTTTTAAAAATGGGACATCCTGTATATTCTCATATATATATATATATATATATATATATATATATATATATATATATTCTCATTTTATCCAAGTTTAAATTTGCAGAAAATACAAAGAGAGGAGAAAAAATACAATATATATTAGAGGCAAAAAGCGCAACTGTCAAGCGCATATCCTGGCTTTATCATCATTTGCACAAATTGATTCGAGAAACGATTTCTTCAGAGTTGAATAATTCGGCCGGGACACAATCCATCTCTCGAATAATAACTCGAGTCGTTAAGTTTCGGCGAAAATATCCGTTTCGTGAAACACATATTGCGATGCCGATGTAACGATGTTTTAACGCCGCGAATTATTCATGTAGCCTATTTCGCGACATCGACATACGCCGGCTATTATTTCGCATTAAGTCGTTAACGCTCGGTCGCGCATGCTCGCGAACCCTCCCCGAAACGAACAAGAAAATCGCGTGTCCCATCGTAAACTTCCGCTCTCCTCCCTCTCGTCGTCCCTATGCTCGGGCATAGTACAAAAGACCGTTCATGATAGACCGATTGCTCGGTAATGGCTCGCTCCGTAATTCTGCTTGTCGTTTTCGTCGTGCGCTAGTCGCAAATTGAAATTCACGATGGCCGCCGGGCCAAATGTGCTCGCGTCCCTCCCTTTCCCACGCCGCGCTTATTCGCTTTTCAGCGTTTACAGATCCGCAACGATACGATAAGCGACGTAAGAGCGCGAATAAATGTCGTCGAAAAGTGTGGAAATTAAAAAAAATAATTATATAAAAAAATATTTAAATGAGATGCATATTTAAAGCCAAAAAGATTGATGACAGCAAAATGTAGAATGATAATTATGTAATTTTTCATCCTAGTACGAAATAGCGCGCTAGAAGATTAACCCTTACTCCGTACATACGAGAGCTATTTTTGATCCCACCAATGTTCTCGTAACGATGCACTACGAACACTTGTTCGTATATTTGTATAAAAATATATTAAAGCGAATTTATCCATTTATTCCAGCCTTTATTTAGAAGGATCATAGAAGATGTGTGAATTTTTGTAGATTTTTCCAATATTTGTATCCCTTGAAAAATGCGTCAAAAGCTTCAATGAGCGCTCTGTACATTTTGAATGCGCCAAAAATATCAATATGGTGTAAATATTAAAAATTGAAAGGTAGAAGAGAAAAGCCCCGATATCAATTAATTTTCATTTAAAATCATACATTATCGCGGAGATTGCGTTACGCCTGCGTTGAAGTGTTTTTAATCATTTGGATGAAAAACGTACTCGTGTAAGAAGACGTTTGAGTGATGTATCGCTGTTCGCGGACGTGCAACTCGCGAGGCGTGCAATTGTCGTCGAATTAAATCCGAAATTAGCGCTTGTTTATCAACTCCCGCTGCGTCATTTATCTTGAATATTTACATTTCGCCGGGAAACGAATAGCCGCGCGCAACTGCATTAATTATGCGCGGCGGCATATGTCACATATTTTTCGTGGAGAGATGAATTTCATTTGACGTATAAACAAAATTTGATTTTCAACGTTTGACCCTGCCAATTTTGTGAAAATCCCCGAGATATGGGGATTATGTGTAACGTAACCGCTCAACGATTTGATTTTCATGGTAAAGGTATCTCGTACACAAGGCAGTTTGTTTTTGCGCAAAACGGAAAAAGCCAACAAATTTGTCGATATTTGTTTGCCGCATTTCTTGCGACATTCAATGCATAAATCAACAAATCCTCCTATTGGTCGAATCTGAAAGCGTATCGCCCATGATTGAAATTATTGAGAGCGTCAGGGTAAATAAAATCCCGAGCACGCTGCGAAATCGCGCTAAAATTTCGCGAGAATTGATTTCTCTCCCACCTCGTTTGTCTTGGAAATAGAAGCGCGGAGAAAAATCTAGATCATGAATTTGGCGCAAAGGTATTATTAGCCAACTATTAATGATTGATCTTTATTTGCATATCGTGTTTAAGCTATGCGAAACGTTATTCCACTTAACATCATCCATTTTTACATACATTTTATATACAGGATATCAGGGCAATCTCTTTTAAAAAAAAACTCTTGTAGGTTACCTCGAGAGCTTTTTAAAACATCATAATAAGGTATTTTTTCATGTATTCATGTATTTTTTCGAGTACTTTTCGAGTTATGAAGCTTGAAATAATTTCTTAATTTTTACATAAACCTAGTAAAATATTTATTTTTTAATTATCTTACCTGAATATTTTATGTACAAAATAATGAGAGGAATCAATTGGTGTAAAAAAAACATATAATTGTTTCGACGAAAAAATATGTAATTTGCAATTAACATTTATATTTTCTTTTTCGAAACAATTATGTGTTTTCTTTACACCAATTGATTCCTCTCATTATATTTTGTACATAAAAGTATTAAGTAATATTTTACTAGATATTTTATGATTTATGTAAAATTAAGTACTCAATGAAAATATACTTCATTATAGTGTTTCGAAAAGCTCTCGAGGTAAGCTGCAAGAGCTTTTTTTGGGAAGAGATTATTCTGTCATCCTGTATATATATATATATATATATATATATATATATATATATATATATATTTATATACTTATCATCTTTTACGACTCGGGAAATATACTCCGTTTGTGTGGGAAATATACCCTATCTCATAGTTGAGTTCTTAGCTTCAATCTCTCGCGAGATTGTAAAATATATTGTACATTACACTCGAGCGCAAACAAAACCTTTGTCATCGTTATCGCGCGATGCTGTTCTCTCCTGTAGCATTCAAATGATCTGTAATTACAGGTGCGATTCCGGAAAGATGATACGCGACTACCTGATACTGCTCTCGTGGCTGTGCGCGGTGCAAGGGAAGATAGGTAAGTACACTGTGCTGTCTCTTCGCGGACAATGAATTATAATGCTTTATATATTTGCAGCGCATTTTGTTCTCTTTCTCCATGCACTATGATCGGTGCATTTTTAATCCCTCTGCGAGAAAAGTAGAAGGGATTATTATGTGTACCATAGCGGCTCATCCGATGCCTTCGGGCGCGGCAATCTGGCTATCGTTTAGGCGCCGCGAAAATCCATCCCCCCGAGAAAATCCACCCCCCGAGAAAATCCATCCCGCGGTGCGAGTTTCTAGAGAGAAAAATTTCCGAGCATTATATATAGTAGCTTTGAAAGGACGGCAATGTTAGATGTAGCCGGGAGATTGAAGCGCGTCTCAAATTCATGCGCTCCCTTTTTTATAATAAAATTATAGCACAAATATAGTTGGAGAATATATGGTTATTATTCTATTTTACGATTGTCATGACTGCCGCAAGCACATTTAATATCAAAGATCTTCATCATACTTTCAATAGCAATTACAATTTTGCTATTCGAAGCATCGTTACATTTACGGTAGACACTAAAATAATCCAGAGCCAAGTCCATCGAGATAGGGGTGAGCGAATAAAAATAGAAACGTAATGTAATAACTCTCTCGTGCGCGCGTTTTCTCTTTCTTTTTTCTTACACACAGTAAGATAAAATACTTCTTACGCTATCAATTTCTTGTATAAATCATTTTTTTAGTATCTTTTTTTGGAGAGCAAAATTTGTGCTTAAAGTGATTCGATAGCAAAGAGGCAATTAAGAATCTACCAGTGCATTAAAAAATACATGAAAATTTTTCTTCAAAACGGAAAACGCAATTACGAAGCACTCTGTACGTCCGTAAAAGCTTGCAACAATATTCTTGATTTTCGTGTTATTTTCCATAGTCGTTATTGTTTCCAAGATGTAATCGGCCTCAATTTCACGAGTCTCTGTATAACGCTTCGCTTGTAATGACAAAAAATTTGCCACGGCACATTTGGGACAGCGAAATTTCCATCCGCGCAACGAGTTTCGCGATGTACACTGCAGCATTTTTCACGTAGACACGTGAATATGATCCCTATGTTTATTTGTGACAATGGGAGCGTAGCAATTGGTGCGAGATGTATATTTTTTCCATACTACGCCAGCGGAAAATTGAACTCGTCGATATTATATCGATTTTAATTGTTGAGATATTTTGACCAAATTTTACAGAAGGAAGAATCTATTTATCTAAAAAAGATATAAAAAGAGCTATTTATTGGAAAAAATATATAAAAATGGCGAGTTTATATAAAAAACCATGTAAACTAAGTCTCTTAATAAATAACGATAGTATTTGAAATTTCACGTCGCTCTGCACTGACAAATAAGTTATTTTTATTCGGTGGAATATTCGTCACGTGTTACCTTTTTGGAATATGCGATTCGATCGAAACCAGCCAGCGGTGTTCAATCGCGTTACAAGCGTCGAAATATACTATTCAGATGCGAACATTTTAATGTTAATTCTTTTCTATTTTTTGTTAAAAAAAATGATCCTAGTCTATAATCAGAGTAAAGAAAAATTTTTTGTTTCAAGGATATTTCTGGCATATCACCGACATTCATTACGACCCAAAGTATGCTACGCAAGGAAACGCCGGCAGCAGTAAGTTAATTTGCGATCAGTTTAACAATTTGTTTATAATTTTGCAAGATGACGAAACGTCTCCATTTTCTTTTAACTTATCGAGAAATTGGAATATATATATTTGAATTATATTTTTAATTAGCATTTTGTAGAAGAAAAACAATTTGCATGTACATGCTGCGCAAATGTTTGATTTCTACAAATGTAGAGATTTCAAACAATTTCTCAAAGTGATTTCAACTCGGGGTTTGCTTTTCACTCAAATATATCTAGCTCTGGACGTCGAACACGTAATTGTTAGTGAATTTTTTTCACATTTTATTTTATTCAATCACTCACACAAATCTCATTTTATGAAATCTCATTATTTCTTCGAAGTCACGACATGACGATTTTGCGAAATTCGCGCGAAAATTTTCACTTTTCGCTTTTTCGCTCTTAGGGAGTATATACGTGATCGACCTCCCGATGCGAAACCCGAGCCTTGATGTTACTACCCTGTGTTGCCAGATGCCTCGAGGTATAAACTTTCCCGAGCATTTCATGAAAATTCTTGCGCATTTATTATGTGAATTTTGTGAAAATTTCCATCAAAGACTTTATATTCTCTAAAATATGTAATGCGAATATACTTTTCATCTTTTTCTCTTACTATACACATTTTGTTATACACTTACTATACACATCTTGTTTTACACTTTACAAACGCTTAATGGCAAGTGTTTTGACGGATAATTTTAGAGTTGAAATCTTTCAAGAAAATCTTTCACGAAAAATCATTACACATTCATCATTAAAGTAACATTTATCTGGAATTGTAAAAATTTTATTAAAATATTTGTATATTTTTGAAAATTAATCATGAAAAATGAAATTAGATTAAAAGTCAAGGAGACAACTCGTTGATCGTTAATTTTCCGAAAATGTCAAATCTATATATTTATGTATTACGTTTATATATATATATATATATATATATATATATATCATTTATTATATATTACTCCTTGAAAAGTTGTGTATATTTTTCATTTCGGAAAAGAAAGCTTACACCATTCGAGTTTACATACATATTTAGCACGCGACGGATCGAGCTTTAACGAATACACGCCCTCGTTTCGTTATACCCTTCATTTCTCGACGATTGCATGAGCGAATTATTATCATTCCTCTAATAGGAAGGTAAAACTGTTATTTACCGATCCCAAGCCCTCTCGTCCTCCCCCGCACTGGTATTTACCGATCGCTTTAAAGTACCTAGCGTGTTTGGCTGGCACGAGACTCGCTGGCGAAATAGCGACACGACTTGCATTACTGCGGACCTACCCTCCCTACGTTGCCTTCCCACATTTATCTGGCCTACCGCTATCGTCTTAGGCCTCGTGTCGTACGAACGTTAGCGGGACGACGATACGAGCCTTAAGCGCAACCCTGGCCGCACCCTGTTTTGCGCTCCATCTCGCTGGTTCCCACGAACGACCCTTTCTCGGGCTCGTTTAACACCACCGGCGTGTGTTGCAGTGTGCTGGAACACGAGAAACAGTCTCGACAGCAGGATAAGAGTCGACAGAAAAATGGCAGGCAAGTTTGGCGACTACAGCTGCGATTCGCCCTGGGCCCTCATCGAATCGGCGGCGCGGGCGATGAAATCGATGCACGGCGAAGGGATCGAGTTTGTCCTGTGGACGGGGTAGGTTAAACGCGTAGTTTCATAAGGATTTTTCATGCACGATATTTTTCGTATTTTTTCATTGTTTTTTTCTTTTTCGATTAATTAAACGTATGGAAATTAATCTCAAACATGATAATACGCATTAAAATATCTTTCCGTTTCTGAATTTATTTGTGAGAATTGATTGTTACATCATTATCATTATTTTTAAATGCATTTTTGGCTGATGTCGAGGTTATTTTGTCAATTATTATTATCGCTAATTTATATCGCGCATTTGAAATTTATGAAAATATTCAGCTTCACAATAGTCAAACACGATACGTGATGTGTTACCGTTAATAACGATTGTTGTTAAATGAATCATTAACGTATTGTAATTTATTCACGAGGTCTCATTTATTATCAATAAAATCATAAACAAGATCCAGTTTGGGGGAATGGCAATTTGTTAATTCAGCTAATAACGCGATTATTATGCGTTGAATTTATTACCGTTAAATAAATTTATTTTACAAACGATTTACTCTAGTCAGAGGTGCGCGACTTCCAATTAATTATTGGAAAGCGAAGAGTTCCGCTGACCGGTATAAATATATCGCATCCACTACCGATGGCTTTCTGGCCACTTAACGCTGCTCCGCCGCACAATTATCGAGGAGCATAAATGTATAAAAGAAATACGAGTAGCGAATGCTAGAAAACGATACGAGTCGTTTATTAAAAGACGTAAATGCATTTTTGAAATGCTACAAATTTCAAATTCATCACGCCCTAATATCGATGGTACTCGCAAAGTTTGTTTCGCTATTTTTTTAATTGAATTCGATTCGCATCGTCTGGCATATATAATTGTTTTACTCAAACGTTTGTTTACCTCTCTAAACCTTTTATTACTTTAATCGATAAATTTAATTAAACGTTTGGAGAGACAAAAAGATACAAATCTTTCTTTCTTTACACGTTGCAAAATTATCGATATAAATAATTCGGGAGAAAGATAGTTAAAAATTATTTTTTTTTAATTATTTTATAATTACATTCTTAGGACACGTCAGTCGTATCGTTTTGCATTAATTTTCTCCGGCTTCCGACCGTCGAGACGCGACAGAGTTTAAGTTATCAGCTGACGTAATTATCAACGCGCAATTATCAACTCGGATGACAACGCGTTCGATTTTCATCCCTTTCTCGTCTCGCGTGCCCGACACGATGCGTCCTCATTTCGCGTCGTGGGCCCTCGTCTTATATTTATCAATGATAATTGCGCGTTCTCGCACCTCCTCCGATAATCCCCTCTCCCTTGCGTTACAAGTGCGACTAACGAGGCTGTAACTACTTGTTGCAGCGACGCACTGACACGCTCCACCAGCATGAGCGTCGAGCTGCGTCTACTGTGTCTGCGGAATTTGACCGATCTGTTGCACCGCACGTTCAAAGGACAATTCGTGTTCCCCGCTCTCGGCCACGAAGACGTCGGCGTGAATTACACTCAGCTGGCGACTCTATGGCAGCACTGGTTACCACCAGAGGCTGTGGACACGTTCGTAAAGGGTGAGCAAACATCGTTACTCGCGAGAAGCTGTAGGACGAGATGAGGGCAGGATTTCGTTTCGAATCTCGCCGGTCATATCTATCGTATCTCGAAGAAATTGCTTAAATCTGGTTGTTTTAGATCTCGAGGGCTAATTGAATAATCTCTAAAATATCTGTGCCGGCGTATTATAAATTGAACGCGTTAAAATTCATAAAGAAACGTTCTCCGAGAGATCCATAAATGATCGGTGAATGGGGATTCGCGGCGCTCTTTGATTCGAAACGAGCGCAACGGGTCGATGCAACATTTATGGATGCCCTCTATCTCCCTCGGAAAATGTGTTACGGCACAAAGTAAGCTTATTGGCGAACATAAATTCGCCCCCCGGGGCTTTACTGCCACGGCACTATTCAAAATTTGTTGCAGCCGGCTACTACACGATCGAGCAGCGCTCGAAAAAATATCGGATCGTCTTCCTTAATACGAATTTGTGGCTGAGCCCGGTCGACAGCCGTATGCTGCATCGTGTCGGAAGTAGCACGGTCGATAACACGCAGGATCCCTTCGGCCAATGGTTCTGGTTCCAGTCGGTGCTAGAGAATGCACGGAAGAAGAAGGAAACGGTAGGTTCCTAGGATGCTCCGCGCGAAATATACGAAATCATTGGTCTCGTCTCTCTCTCTCTCTCTCTTTCCGAACGCGCCATTATTACGGTGCGACACGACGCATCCTTTCTTTCCCAAATAATTCCCGCCATGATATCGACACGAGTGATTTTCATGGACTTTGGTTAGATCCTTTGGAACGAGAAATTAACGCGAAAGGGAGAGCGATAAGAGCAATCTTAATCGGTTGGAATAGAGGCGCTGATAAAGATTAAAGGATACGACGGAAGGAGATGCCAGAAAAAGTCGGAGATTCGATAATAATTCGCCTCGATTCCGCATAAATCGTTTGAATAATCTGACCAATAATGGAATTCTCATTCTTTAACGTCGCGTTATTTTGCCAACGATATCAGTCGACTCCAACCCTTGGACAAACGTGAAACTAAATTAAGCGAAAATAGCCAATGAGAATAACTATCTTGGTAATTTGATTTCAAAACGAATATCGGCCGCGTACAAAGGTCGTGAAAGTCCTTGAAACTTTTTATGCTCGTTCAATCGCGCACATGTATGTATACGTGACACATCTTTACGTACGTATTGGATATAAAAAGACAATTTAATATAAAGGAAAAATTTTTTTACGTGTCAATCAATTTTCCGGGATCGATGAAAACATACGTACAACGGCGTTTCGAGCGTCAAGTCGCCATTATGACACTCGTACGTAAATTAAGCCCTTTGATAATGAAGTTGATCAATTGGTAAACCTACAGACGCGTGTTTTAATACGGGGATTGATGGGATAAATGAGCGTTTAATCGTGCAAAAGCCTATGCGCACTCGATATCTGCTTCTATCGCGCTATCGGGTATATATGCTTTACGCAAAATTGCGCGTATTCGGAGCGTGCATATTCTATCTAGATATTCATGCATCGTGACTCAAAACTGTGCCTGACAGTTTGACATCTGTAATGTTTGACGTGTGTAAAAGAGACTAGATGTAAAATTAAAAAAATAAATGACAACTTGCACCATATCGTATACATATACATTCTCTATTCATAACATATACACGCACATACATGAATAAAATAAACTAATCAAAAATATAATTTGGATTTTTTAATCATTTTTTGTTTCTTTAAACATCACATAGAAAATGTAAAATAAAATATTATTTTTTGCATAATTTGATTAAACTACTTTTATATTTATAAATTGTTTTATTCAAATTGATTGATTCGATAAGTTAATTAAAATTTATTGATTTGATAATTTTACTAAATTCATTCTGCAAAACGCCGTGATATTTGCTTTGTCCCAATATGATACAAAACATATTATTTTTTTTAAATACACGCACACGCATAAAGTTTTACAAAGGGACAGAGAGAGAATTTTCACGATTGCTCTAGTGTCATCGAGTGTTTGCCAAAGATCGTGAAATTACGGGCAATGTTTTAGCGAGTAAATAAGCACCGGTACCTATAAAACACCCTACCAGATATCTCGCGTGTCGCACGACAAGTTGAGTAATTGAAGGGTACCCACGCAAAAGTGTTACTCGGCTTCAGCACACTTTATTGTTTCATAAAAAGCGTGAGAAACTCAAGAATGTAGCGGCATTAGGGAAAATTTAAGACGACGGTATTGCAGCCTCCACATCTTACCGCCACCGTGCAACGAGATATGTTCTCCTTCTTTTCTTTCCTTTTTTTTCATTTCGAACAAACGAGATCTACGATGTACGTCGACGAAACGAAAAGCGAGCAACGTAAAGGATCGCGGAATATAACGCATCTCGCATTGTTTGCTCGTCATATTAAAAAAAAAACGTTAACGCGATACGGAGAACAAGAAGAGGGGGAGGGGGAGAGGCAGAAAAGATAAATTTTAATGAAATAAATTTTCGTAGCGCATACGAAGACATATGAAGCGAATAAAATCCCCGTTGATAGGACTTCGATATGGCATGTATGATTTATCAAGCGAGCTGTTGTCATCATCGTTCTCGTTTCTCCTCGGTTCGCGCGCTTATAAATTATAGCGAGCGACTATACATGTTCACTAGACTGACGGCTGACACATAGCAATTTTCGATTTTCTCGATCACGTTTCGGTTCATTATTCGATGGCTTATCGGCTCTCTCTCTCTCTTTCTCTCTCGTGGCACACATGTCGACGGTTTACGGAGGCTCTCACGCGCAGAAATTTATAATCGCGGCTAAACAGATATTCTCGCAGGAAGGACGGAGCAAATTGTATAATCACGTCCAAGATTCAAATGCAAATTGTAGAGACAGTGGCTCTGCATTCCCAATGAATACAATTTCTCGGGGAAATTTCCAATTCGACACATATCACACGTGCGTAATTACACCTGCGCACACATACACACGTTGCTCTCTCTCTCTTTTTTTCAATTTCGATTCTCACGTGATGAAACACGATGACAAATGAATAATATTTATTACGTGTGGGATGTGGGATATTGTCACAATCTAGCGAGACGGAGAGACGGTCGCAAATTTATCCTCTTCGATGAGCGATCCAATTAATACGCACAAGAGCCAGGATCGCGAGAGTCGCGTCACGACGGTTCCGGTATCGTTTGCTCGCTCGCGCAGAGCCAATGGAGGTCTTCCAAGAGTCGGGACCTATCGAGTATCACGCGGGGTCGGTTATCGGTTATCGATTACGCCGCGGGGGCTGTGCAGAACGAGTCCGACATACGCGAGGGAGATCCTTCACGCGACCGGGATGGCACGACCAGCGATAAATTATGGAGGGACTTGGTATTCCATACACGAGATCCAGAGAGGAGAGACCCTTCGTTCGTATACGTAAACCGTTGCACGCCACCGCCATTGATCCCGATCGTATTAACCGGACGGATGTAGCCGAGAGAGAGAGAGAGAGAGAGAGAGAGAGAGAGACAGAAAGAGAGAGACAGAAAGAAAAAGAGAGGGAGGGAGAGGGAGAGCTGTCGCGTTTATCTCCGACACCATCGACGCATTCACCTACGTGCACGTTCGAAAAGGCAACCCTGTTATATCCCCCGCATAACGCCACGGGATGGCATTCGTGTATGAAGAGTGACGTACATTTTTCAGCGCACTTCTCCATACTACGCGCGCAATAAAACTCCGCTTAAATTTTTTATTCTCTACGGTTAAAAAAAGGTCAAAAATTATTCGTAAGATTTACTTCATAATATTCTCATCGCATATTTATCATCTCTAAATGCATACGAATGTTGTCCGATTTTCAATCGAATGCGTGTTTAAGGATGTTTCGTATCTATTTTCAAAATATTGAGAATTTAATGAAAATTGTACAGCATGTCCTTACATACGTTTAGAATCTTCAGTACAATTTTTAAATCGATTCACTAAAGCGTTCACAAGTTGTAAGGATTTTAATTTGCACCGAATTAACATGTGTTTTTATGGGAAACGTATAACCACGTCGATTCAAATGACAAAAACACATAATAATATTCAAAATTTGTTTAAAATTTGCAAAAGTGTAGTTTAGATACAAAGGAAATATTTGGTCAAATATTATACAAGTACTAACTGGTTAAAAAAAATATTAAATATAATTCAATAAAGTTAGCCATGTCACAAGGCAAAATTCTCTGCCGAAAGAATTTTGTTAATCATTTTGATTAACAAAATTCGGAATATTTCAGTAAAAACGCAATAAATGCAATAAATTCCATGCAATTTCTCATACTCAAAATACACCAAAAGGATATATTCGTCAATATTGATTTTCAGTTACTTTTTCCTTGGGATTGTACATACAAAGCATCCTTAAACGATTATTTTTATTCTTATCGACAACTATCTATAATTCCCCAAAAAATTGCATTTTTATTTTTGCAATTATCTCTTCATATTCGACAAGTTTCAGGAAGCCTCAAGTTTTAAGAAGAAATAAGATCGACAAGACTAGACAGACGACAACACGATGACAATAATGCATCGTGTGATCGGTTTCGATAAAACAACTGTATTTTCTGTCCGATAACCATGCGCGATATTCCACCAGCTCCCAGAAGACTCTTAAAGCTTCTCCCTCTTTCTCTTCGTCTCTCGTCTCGCTCAAAGAGCTCTTAGTGCGAGTCAACGAGCGTGGAAGCAAAATAGCCGTCGCACGATAGGTACTCTTCAAAGCGATGAAATGACCAGTAGGGTAATAACAATCGGAAAATATAGCGAACACGGCTCGTTGGTCCCGCGACTCTGATAACCCAGCAATAATTCTTCCTCTCTCTCTCTCTCTTTTTTCCCCTCCTCCTCTATCTCGATACTCGCTCGATCGCTCTGCGGACGCGCTCTCTCCAGGGATTTCCGGAAGAATTCTCGGAAAATCTTGTACGTCCTTATGTGCTCGGATAAAAAGAGCGCGCAGAGACACCAGGCGGGGGGTTGAGCGCCGAGGTCCAAGAGATAGAAATCCGATTTTCCGTGGACAGATATAATCCGGCGCCGACGCTGCTGCCTCCCAAACGATCCGAGAAGGCTTCTCGATCTTCGCGTTCCAGAAACGAGCGATATCGCGTTTGGCGGCGAGGGTGGTTTGGCTGTCCGGAAGGAGGAGACGGATCGATCGATCGTTTTTGAACGTCAGACTGGATAATGCGATTACAAATTACGAGTCGTTTAAGAGCGTCAGCGGCAAAACTGACCAATCAGCGAGCCATTGTGCCCAATTCGTTCGTGCCTCCGGTGAATGGCGGCCGTGATTCCTGCACCTTCGGCAAAAGGCCCTCGGCGGCAATTTAAAATCGAACGTCTGCTCTTTTCGCGCTTTTCGTGCGATATTTTTCAATCCCGTCGCGGTACCGGCAATCGGGTTGTTCACGAGAGGTTGCCAAGAGAGCGCGACCCCTGCTTCCCCTCCGTTTTTGCATTTATTCGCGCGACATCCCGTCACATATAATTCCGAACGCGTCGCTCTTATGCTCAACCGCAATCGGCTTTCGCGTCCGCGATCGCCCATCGTTTCGGAGGAGACCTTTCCCGGGCCTGTCCGCGAGGAGCTCGAGAAAGGATTCGCGAAAATGAAAAACGTATCTCTCTCTTCTCTCTCCATTTCCTTTTCCACCGTTATCCACTTAACGAGTTTTTGTTTTATCCGCACATTCACCATTTCGCTTGAAATATCTTACGGTCCTATGGGAGTGGCTGACTTTTATTTCGAGTCAATATTGATCACGGATACATATCATCAGTTGTTGTATTTAATTATTTATTCGATAATATAAATAATGATACAATTTGCATTCTCCTATTCTCTACATACAACATTGGCCTCTGCATCGTCTATGAAATCATGAATATATTTAATTCTCATCATCTATCATCATTTATCATCATATTTAGTTAGCATAGGAAGCGTTAATATTAAATAGGCTTTATCGAATCAATTATTGTTAGTATTTTCCGACAATTCTTCGCGAATGATACGTGCAAACGCTTCCTTGATAGCCAAAGGTATCTTTGATTGAAAAATCAGTTTCCCTTTCAACGCCAACATCAATTTATGTTCCCAACCGGTGGGACTAATTTCGCGTACGTGTCCGATTAGATATCTGGTAGTCCTTCGTATTCGACCCTTCGTCGTCGCGACGGATACCACGATCGAACGTGTAATGTACGTATGTGTGCGCAACCGTCCTCGACTGGCGGCTGGCCGGTTTGCCGACGCTAACGAGACTTCCTACGTCCCAGGAGACACATTGCGTAGCCGCGTACGTGATTCACTTCGGAGCGTCTGTTTAGCCGGGATGCAGTCACGCGACATAACTAAGGGTTGCTGTTGAATGAGAATGCTTCCGCTCTTTGACCGTGGCCATCGGAAGACGGCCGTTGATATTTAGCCTCCGATTCTCGATATTCTCCCTCATCGCAGGCTTCATATATAAATTAGATTATTATTTGCTTCCTGTCGTGAATTTATAATATTAGCGTTGCAAAGTTTTCGAATCGGCTTGGTTTATTGATAAGATATTTCAGAGTTTATACTCGAATACATACATATATATATATATATATATATATATATATATATATATATATAATGTATGCGCTTAACATTCAAGTACATGTAACAGATATTTGATTTCCATTTTTATATTTTTTTAGAATAAGGAAATAATTTGCAACACGAGGCGGCAAAAAATATCTCTTCTCGATGGTGAAAATTTAGAATTACGTGTTTTCTCTTTTCTTTCTATCTCTTTCTATTTATATAAGAATTATATACAAATTTCAATCAGCTGGAAATGGGTTTATTAACTATTTGCGATATATCTCCCTTTACTCAAAAATATTGACCAAACTGATTTCATTTTATGGTCAGAGCAGTACAAATCTAGTCTGCACTCTTTGATCATAAAAATATTGTCAATATGGCCGGTGTATCCATATGTGAAACAACACTTCAACTATCTTCAGATACCAATATCAATAATTTGTAATAGAGGAAGGTACTTCTACTTTAATGGATTTAGATACATCGCCATTTGGAATACGAGACGACATTATATGTTGAAGCAAATTTAGATATATGGAATTGCGAGATTCTCGATGGCATTGTTACATGACGTTAGTTTAATAGAGATGCTTTTCATGCTTTCAAAGTATGCATTGAAATGGAACATTATTATACAACATTAATAGAATATTAATGATAATAAATTAAAATATAACAGGATACGAGAAATATATCAAATATTCTACGAGCGTTTATGATTCAATCGGTGTAATAACAACTTTGAATTGCAAAATTTCTTTATCGAATCTCGTTGCCTAAAGCTTGATAAATTTAAAATTAAAAAAAGAAATCTTTTATCTTTATGCTATATTTATGTGAAAAAGAATTTATTACGATACGTATATATTGCATTAGAAAATATCTCCATGTCAAGCAACAACGCGGATGGTGTGTCAGAGGTTAATCTACATGAGGCGGAAAACATCAATAGTATCGGAAGAAACATCGAGTTTACATGAATGGATATTAAAGCAGAATTGATGGCGGAACGTGGAGAGCTAACTATGCAGATTTTCGAAATATCGATGTTCGATGCTCATTCCCTATTCTGTTCTGTAACGGTCAGGTGTACATAGTCGGCCACACGCCACCGGGAGTGGACGACCATGAAAACGGCGCCCCGACCCTTAATGAGAGGCACAACACCAAGTATCTTCAGACAGTGCGACTCTATTCGGACATCATTCGGGGACAGTTTTTCGGTCATTGGCACTCGGATACGTTTCGTGTAATTTACAGCGACACAGGTACGTTGTATACGCGGCAAATCAGCGGGCTTTAGGAACACTTTGATATGTTAACAAAAAAATAATAATACTTTTAGATTTATATAACTTTGGTATTTTAATATTTTATAAATAAAAGTATTTTATTTATAAAATCGTGGAACATAAACTTGAAAGCAAAGCAAATTTATTCGATATCTCTGAAAGTGAATTGCTATATTTTTGTTGTAATTTATTAATATTAAGAGAAATCTGGGAAAATTTCAAACATTTTGCATTCAAGTGATGTATGATATTTTCTAAAGGATTCCTGAATAAAAATATGCATTTTTATCGATATTAAAAATCTCTTACATTAACATCTTTAAAAAATACACATTATTAGAATACAATAAAATACCTAGATTTTCACAAGTTAAACATTTTGTGAAATATTAAGTGCATTAAAAAAAAAACTTTTTGAGATAAAAAATTTCTTTTAGGAAATGCGATTGATATTTTATTCCTCGGCAAACAAATGTATTTAATCTATCGATTATTTCAATTTTTATTATCGATTCGCATTTAGCGCATTGCTATCGTTTTATTAGCTATCATTTTGATCTCAGTGTTATTAATATTCACAGCACGCGATTAATTATTCTGCAAAACGATACTGAACAGGTCTGCCCGTATCCTGGATAATGATGGCTCCCAGTGTAACTCCAAACACCCTTGTCGGAGGACCCAACAACCCGGGTTTGCGATTGTACAAGTTCGAAACTAACACCGGAGAGGTACGTGGCGATGGGGAGCATACGCAAACATTCTCGATAATAATATTTCCACCGTTCCTGCAACGGTCCATTTGTGCAACGTGTCTATTTCAAAGGGATACAGAAAGGTAGAATAAATTATATCCATGTCTTTTGTATATGTTGCACGCCACGCAGATTCTGGATTACACGCAGTACTATCTTAAGCTGCCCGAGGCAAATTCAAACGGCAAAGCAAACTGGTTGATCGAGTACTCGCTGCTCGAGTATTATAACCTGCGAGAGATATCGGCCATCACTCTTCACGATCTGGCGGACCGATTTACGCAATCCAACGATAACGCTTTCGTTAGGTACGTAACGCGCGATGCGAGGCGGATCGATTTGGCTTTGATTCGCGAAACATACCTCTAAAACCGTAATAGTATCTCACCCTTTTATTTATTGGCTTCGATTACGCGTAAGTGTTTCATGTCGCTGACATTTTTTTTTCTTTTTTCCCGGAGATGATCGACGAAGTGAAACGCCCGTCCAGGAAAGACATCGCTTTGCTAATCGCTTATATCATCATCGTTATCAGTAATTTTTCGCTTAATTGCCGGTAGCGAAATTTCCAACGTTTCTTTACGCTAATCATTCCCGACCCTCTCGTTCCTCTTCTCGAGTCGGCAATTATGTCCCGCGATAATTTTCGGGGCCCATCCGTGCGACATTGTGATAACTGTCCTACCCTTTTCGAGGCGCGCGCATTACAATGCTAATGACAGTCCCGGGTAATTCCGCGACCAGCCCTCCTAATGCACAAGCTCGGTCTCGCGGCATACATGTATACCTAATATTATCTTTCCTCGCGCAACGCCTCGCGATATGTTTGTACGTCGCGTCACGCGCGCGTGTGCTTTGCACGGTCTCTCTGTCCTGCAGGTATTACGCCGCCAACACGGTCTCGTTGCCGCGCGAGGTGGAGCAAGTCTGGGGCTGCGGTGGTCCTCTCAACGGAGTCTGTGCGCTGCATCATTACTGCACCGTGACCAGGCTCAATCCCGAGTCCTACAGGTACGCCACGCCTTGTAACTCGTTTCGGTAATTACGCCAGAATTCTCATCCTGATACACACTAGGTGTACAGCAATCTCGCAGCATTTTTTTCCGCCACTCGCGTTTCGCACTGTCGTCAAGATTTTGACAGCTAACACGCGAGCCGACCTGTACAGCAATAGTATTGGGTGGTAAACTAAATTCCTGTCGGTTTTTTGTCTCCAAAATTGATTTGTTTCGAAGGGAAGACGAATAAACCTTAAAGTAATTTCCTTCATTTTCTGTTACTTTCGACAACTCTAAAAGCGTTTGAGCTGAATTCTCATCGAGCATTTCTTGCAGCTCGACATTTTCAAATTTTTTTTGGTTGTCCGGGATGGTTTTTGTCTCTCGCGTCAAAATCACAGTTTCGAAAGCGTCCAAACCAAACTCTACATGTTTTTTTCCGATAGAGTTTCATCACCACTTCAAATAATAAGCGATGCGTTTCAGCTGCGGTTTTCTTGAGGTCAAAGTAGCGAAGGAGCACATGTCGGAAAAATAGCTTATCGCGGTTTACTTTCAATCGATTGGAAAATCTCTTTGTCGAGAAATCTAACCTGTGAGGACTGAGTCACTTTCAGCAATGTCTGAACTACAAAAGACATGCGATTTCACCGTCGAAACTCGCCAGCGTTGGAGCCCCGGCATCCTTTAGTAGCGAGCAGCAGGAATTAAGTTTACCATCTAATACATGTATATAGGAAAATCGCATTTGCAGTTGCAAAGATGCGATATCGACAAATTTCCCGTTTCGTGAAAAAGATACAGAGTTTCCTCCGCGAAAAAAATTGAGTTCCATGTAATTTTCTTCGGAAAGCATTTCATATTTAAAGGATATTAATCAATGTTGACTCTTCTTTTGATTTGATATGCAATCTTGTTTTTAATAAGATAAATTCGATATCAAGTTCTCTCTCTCGCAAACCGTTATACGGAAATTTTTAATTCGATCGCTCTCCGTTCCATCGAAAACGCAAGTAGGGTTCATCAACCACTTGGATAACGCACACCCTCACGAACACGGAATCTATCGAGAATTTGTCGTTAATTGGTTGCGTACACGTGAAGCGAATACCAATTAGATCAAAGTACATTGCGCGCATTGCACCGCTCGTGTAATAACACTGTTACGAAACGGAAGCGAGGAAGATGTGGCAAAATTTTGAAACAATGAGAGTGATTTGCTTATACAAGTCCGTACGCTTTCAAAGTTCTTTTCTTTCGTCTTATCAATGCAGTACAATCGATAATATTTTACGATATTCAAAATGCAATTTTCAAATTAATTAAAGAATTCTTGCTTTCTCTTGTACAAATTAATTACTTGTAGGTTAAACTGAAAGCACTTTTCTAATCATTGCGAACCTAAAAACTGATATGGCATAAATGTAATGTATTATTTACTAAAGAGAATTTAAAACAAATTCTATACTGGAGCAAAAATGATATATAAATATTCCTTAGATACGTTCATTAACAATTAACGATTCCCAGGAATACTGCTCAAAGTCTGACATATTAAGACGAAGACGAAGGTTAAATCTTGAAAGAGTTGTCGCGATCGTTTGAAATTGTAAAGTGAATCAAGTCAGTAACAGACTAGATAAATGTCGGCACGAAGATAGATAAACGGAAAGACGGATAGAGAGAGATTACTGCACTTTTCAATATTCAAAAAGGCGGCGGGACGTCTTCTTCGTAAATTAAGTACCGTGAAAGCCCTCGTAGTTTGAAAGCGTCATGTAATCTCGCAAAGTCTCGCAAGAGCCTCAAAGATTTCAGAGAGTTCTCAGCCGAGAGCTGGTTTAGTTCGCGCGGCGATGTTTCCAAGTTGCCAGCAATTACGTATTAGCGAGTCGGGGGGTTGTAACACCTCGCGACTGACCGTTTGCAAAAATAATGTAAACGCGCGAACGCCGCGGAGATGTGGATTTTTAAGCAACCCGGAGCAAATGTTCCGTTGGCGCAAAGCGAGGTAAATGCATTATGCATCGGCTAAGATGTTACGACCGGGAAAATATGTATTATCGACGCATCGCGCGAAAAGGTCACAGGGACGCGACATCGCGGAATTGGCATCCGGCCCCGAGTCAGTCCGTCCCGAAACTTACCGAGACACTTTGGAGATTCGCGATAAGATTCGACGACGCGAATCGAAACTTGGATCGTCCGCTTGCAAGCGCGCAAAACAATCGTCGCGTCTGCGTTCAACCGTTAGCTCGCTCCAAGTCAAAGTGGCATTGTTCGCTTGTAATTCGGTTGAAATTTGACGACGCAATATCCTAAAATATGCATGTATGTATTACGCTCGCAGGGAATGCTATTCGTCCTACGCTTACGCACTGGCGTCCACGGCACCATCCACCATGCGTCCCTACTTCGCGTTGCATCTGCTGTCAATGGTGATCTGCGCCGAGGTCCTGAACGACCGGTAGGATGAGCGAGACGAGAGAATCCCGGGGGCTCCGCCCCGCGCGTCGGCTCTCCCACGGCCGTCTCCGCGTCTACTCTCCCCGGCGGAATCCGGTCGGGATACGTCATCGATCGGCCGGTCGGATCGGATCGGATCGGATCGGTCTAGGAGGTGGCCCTGGCCACCCGAGTTAACGCGGCGAACGCGTCACTAGCGATACCGGCGCCAACGTCGCCCGATGTGTCATCTACTTTGTCTATATCTCTGTCGTGTCTCCGTCTTCTCCTTGTCGCGCCTTGTCGAGATTGTTCAGGCGCGCTTTCGTTCCGTCGTCTTTTGGTGTTGCATACGTTAGGTTTGTCGGCTTGTACGCGACGAACCGATTTCGAGACTTCGACATTGTGAAATCCGCGAGGATTCCGGATATACAAGTACTCGGATATATCCGGAATGTTTAGACGCGCGCCGCCGTAATAAATTAATTCGGAGATCCAAATATTCGTGTAATTCGCGTAATGTATCATTATTCCAGGTATATAATTCCAGTTGTTTCTATATATACATCATTCGCTCGGATAATTTGGATATAATTCGTGTACATTAGTATAATAAATGTAAAAAATCCGAATACGCGGTAAGATCGCTTTCATCATACAAATGCATAGAATAGCATTTTCCAATTAAAGTTTCATACTAAATGTTTTGAAAAATATGTTGATAACACAGGGGTACTTTGAGGAATTTGTAGCCGATGTTTTTACAATTATAATCTATTTGGGTATGTATAAAGCGATAGTTTTTGAATTATATATAAAGATAAATAAAGAAAATTTGTCTCTTTCTCTTACTCTCGGAATCTTTTCTAAATAAATATTGCTTTGAAATTTTTCTTCGAGAATATATTTTCTTCAAATTAAACTCATCTATCTCTCCTTACTTTACTTTTCATCAACTATTCTGTTTTCTATCTAAAATAAACAGATTTTGCAAAATCCTACGAGCTTTTATTATTTGATTATTTGTGAATAAATAATGTAAAATTTCTTTCTTCTTTCTTCCCTTTGCCTTCCTTCTCTCTCTCTCTTTCTCTCTCAAACAATTCGAATATATCCGAGCACTTTGGTCTCGTCTAGTATTCGTATTTATCCGAATGTAATGGGAAGAATTTACTTAATGAAAATTGACGTGTTGCTAATATTTAATTTTCTTTTTAAAGATCACTGCCAATTGAAGAAATAAAAGACACAATATTTCTTTGCAAAATATTTCTAATTCTTTTAACGAACACATTGATCGAAACTCTTCTTTCCATTTCGCTCTTTTCTATTATTTTTATAATATAGAGAGTTATAAATTGATATTAAATACATTTTTCCCAAGGATTTCCCATTTTTCCCATTTTTAACATTGCTTTGAGCGTTCATCTCAAAACACATAATAAAGTTACGTACAAGTGTAAAAAATTTGAAACAGAGATGTTCTTTGATATTTTTCAATTTGCAGATAATTTCTCTCTATTAAGTATATTTCATTTATCTATATTATAAATTCGGAATCATTAACAATACGTCAATATAATCTATTTGAGACTTCCTATTAAACAATTTCGAATTTAGATACTTGTAGCTCCAAGCGACTGGCGCGTTGCGAGAAGAAAAAGAGGAAGCGGAAAAGAGAGAAGAAGCGCGCGCTCGCATTGAAACCGTTCTTTTCGTCTTCATCCGTGTTCACGAGCTTCCGGGCATAAATCGTCGATCGACGTAGCGTTTCTATCCGAATGTTTTGCAGTCTGCGAGCGCAATCCGACGGTGCGACTGCCCTCGGCAAAGCGTAGGGGATGGATAAAAGGCGGATCGTAGGTAGAAGGGTAGCGAGAAGTCCCCTTTAAGAAAATCGCGCCGCATTCTTCCGGATAGGTGGTTCCCACGCATGGCATATATTTAAATGTAATTAAAATTTACATACGGCGGGGGCGGGAGGACTTTTACGCTGCTTCGGCTAATAATCCAATGTCAAAACTCCGGGACGCCGCCCTGGAAAACGCTCCGAGCAAAGTCGACAGCTCGAGAAGGAGGCTGCGTCGAAGCTCTCATAGCTTGAAGATTATATTCGTACTACCATTTCGCGATATTGTCGGAACGATGCAGTATTTCTTAATAAAGGACTCATGGATTTGTAACAGCGGCGTGTGTGTCTTCTCTTTATTTATCCTCCGTTCTCTGCTCCTTTTGTCACTTTATCTCGAAACTTACAATTAGTTGCCGTTATTATAAGCGCAATATTAGAAATAATGTGGCTGACTATTAATACAAACTGATCGAACCCAATTTTTAATAAATAACCGTATCGCGAAAGACTGGAACTAAACGCGATAGTTGCATTTTCTCTTTTAAGACAAAGAAGAAAAAATTTTCTTATACCAGTTTTTCATCAATAATGTATAAAATATTTACCGATTAAGTTTGGAATAATTTTTCTGCGACTTTTTCTTTTCTTCAGACTGATAGATATTTTCTTATCACGATCGAGTTGAAAGATTATCACCATAGACGAGGAGATTTTACGGATCAATTTGAAAACAGCATTTTTCATCATTAAAAAAGTCATTAACAATTACGCGGGCAAAATCCGCGGGCGAGCTTTTAAAAAGCAATTACGCCCCTAGATATTATTTCTCATGGCTATTGCTGAATGCGCAGAATCTGCCGCGGCTCGTTTTCAGACTCCGATGAACAGTTACCAGAATTCAGAATTTACTCGTATAACGAGATATAACCAGAGAGAGGAGAGGTCTCTCAATTAATTCCGCGGCCGCTACAGTTAGCGGGCTAACCCAACTCCTCTAAACGAGCTCTCCGGGCTTCGTGCACATGGTGACAGCAAATATGAAGATAAGTCGTTCATTAACACGAAGGGAACATTTAGCGGAAAATGTGAGAATTTTGTTAGCGTAATGAGAGCCCGGCTTTCACGGCGGCGAGAAAGAGAGAGAGAGAGAGAGAGAGAGAGAGAGAGAGAGAGAGAGAGAGAGAGAGGAAGACACCCAAGATATTCGCTAACCAGCGCATCTGCTCTACCTCGCCGATTATCTCTACGGTAAGTACCCGTAGCTATGCGTACGTGTACATACATATACGTATGTATATGCGTGCGTGTATGTGTGTTTCCGTGCGTGTGAATTAAGTGTGACTGTGCTTACTCGCGCACGTGCGTTACGCATTCATACGGTTATCAACCGTGATACGTACATGCATGTACATCGCGAGGGAGCGATAAGTAAATCTAAGCGATCTCTCTATCTCTGTCTTTTTCTCGAGGGAGATTGCGCGAATTCATCGCTCATCGCTGCCGAGATATCGTGTAACGTTGAGAATCTCCGTCGTATATGGTATATGTATACATGGCGTATCACCTACGCGTGTGTTTTGCATATGTATAATGCAGATTGCATATCGCACGAGACATTTTCGAGCTAACAAACATGATTATAATGTTTGTATTGACACGAGTCTTTCGCTTCCACTTTCCATGTGGACTGAATATACAATAAAATTATCGAACGAATCTACCAGATTCGAGTATCAAAATTGCCAATTGTAATATAGTAAAGTTCCGAGAGAAGTAAACCGAACTTGAATTTTTCAGACGTGAGGCAAATGTTTGTACGTAATCATCATAATATTTGTATATATTTTTATAATAGCAAACATAAAAATTAAAGAAACACTTGCAAGTATTATGCATCGTATTTTTTGATATATTACTTTATTTGGTATTATTAAAATTGACAATGAGCTTAAACACTTTAAATTTTGCAAATACGTCAATCAGGAACGTTTAGTTTGAGAAATATTTTTCAAAATAGTTGATTCATCTCTTAAAAATAGAACGAGGAAAGTGTGTGAGTTATAAATCAATTTTGATAGGGATATATATAAGTCAGTTTTTAAGGAGATGGATCTTTTTATATAAGCCATTTTTATTTAAATAAATTAAATTAAAATATATTAGATTAATATATATTATAAATTTACAAAATAGATAGATAGAAAAAAAGAGAGAGAAAAAATTGATAAATGATGATTATTTTTCCTAAAAATAAATACAAAATCAATGAAATAATAAAAGAACTCAATTTTCGATAAAATAATTATTGATAAATTATTAGAATAAATATTTGATAAAACAAATATAAATAAGTTTTATAAATGCGTTTTTCGATTTGATTAATTTATGAAACTTTATTTTATAAAGTTTTATAAAACTCTATTTTGTAAAACTTTATAAAACAATGTGAAAATTAATTTAATAATAAATTTATTTGAAATATAAACTCATTACATGTAGATAAAATTATTTATATAAACGCAATTATTTATATTTTTTTTTCTATATTGCGATTCATTTTCTGCAAAGAATTATTTAAATATCAATAAGGAAGATTTATCATTTTACGCGTTGCACTTGCTGATCAAATCCATATCATATGATTCAACTAAATCGCATTTTAGGAAAAAAGGGTAATCTTAATGTTAAGTTTTTATTTTTATTTTTCATGCTTATATATACATATATAGATAAAGAATTTACATCAATTCATGAATAATGAATATGTTATGCATTGATGTTTCAGATATTAAAGTAGTTTATGACTTGAAATACGTAATTTGTAGAGAAAAGCAATTTATCTTTGCCAGAATTATATTCAATAATATATCGCGAATCTTGCATAGATTATTTTCTCTATGATATAAAGTATAATTTTTGCAAATCTTGAAAAATTAATGCGCGTAAGTACAACGTAAAAACTTGTACGATACATCATCCACCATCGATGTGCAGGTAATCGCATCCTAATGCGTCGCTCGCTTCTTCGTATTCCGTCCGACAGCGAAATCTCTTTATAAGAGAACTCGGCTCTTTACTTAATTCTTCTAATTCGGAGGCTAGGGAGTCATGACCTATCCTTGATTCCCGGCCATTTCCATATTTCTTCCGTCCCGCTACCTCCCTTTGGGGCTCGAGAGGAGGTTGGCCGGGGCTCTCCGACGGCGGAAAAGTATTGTCGCAGTTAAGGCGACCGCGCTCGCGGCATACAAATAACGTACTTTTCATAGCGCCGTCCCAGCATCGCTAACAATGAATGAAACACCCGCGTCGTTATCATCCGCGCACGACCGGATAAATAAATACGACATCGCTCGAGACGGAGGAACGATTTTTATTAGAGATACGCTCCAGCCGCAACGTAAACGGCCGCGCACGTGCGCACCGATATCGAGATTATGGCTCGGATTTATCGCGTATACTATAAATTTCAAATATACGTTCTATGAAAAAATTTCGCAGAGACTGAAATTGCTGGATTGAATCGCGCAGAATTTTTTTCACTTCCAGGCATACACACGTACACATTCATGATTGATTCATGGATATGTTCAGCCGCTGGTGACGACGGAATGGCGAGATTAATCGAACACGAGCACATCCGGTATTAAATATCGGATTAAGCGCTTTATTCGTTCTATCGTCGAATCATTAATTACTGAACAATAGCGCAAGATTTTCACGTGATATAATTAATGCTTGTAGCTCGAGGTTTGCGACGTTAAAATGGCAACGATAACCAATCGACACGATGTACCTACAACGAGCTCGGCTGCAAACGTTGCGCCAATTCCATGCAACACGTGCATCTCGTATGCGCGTGTTTCGCTGGAGCAAAAGCGGATATTTCGGCGCGCTCGTCGAGTACGCGTTGCTACACACATTGCCATTTCCTGGTCCTGGCCGGCGAGTGAAGTACACGAGCAGCAGTCAT